TCACCATCATGACACAACGATATTCCCGAGATACGCTCTTGCCATTCACCATCATGACACATCGCTATTCTCGAGATACGCTCTTGCCACTCACCATCATGACACATCGCTATTCTCGAGATACGCTCTTGCCACTCACCATTATGACACATCGCTATTCTCGAGATACGCTCTTGCCACTCACCATCATGACACATCGCTATTTTCGAAATACGCTCTTGCCACTCACCATCATGACACAACGATATTCCCGAGATACGCTCTTGCCATTCACCATCATGACACATCGCTATTCTCGAGATACGCTCTTACCACTCACCATCATGACACATCGCTATTCCCGAGATACGCTCTTGCCACTCACCATCATGACACATCGCTATTCTCGAGATACGCTCTTGCCACTCACCATCATGACACAACGATATTCTCGAGATACGCTCTTGCCATTCACCATCATGACACATCACTATTCTCGAGATACGCTCTTGCCACTCACCATCATGACACAACGATATTCCCGAGATACGCTCTTGCCACTCACCATCATGACACATCGCTGTTCTCGAGATACGCTCTTACCACTCACCATCATGACACATCGCTATTCTCGAGATACGCTCTTGCCACTCACCATCATGACACATCGCTATTCTCGAGATACGCTCTTGCCATTCACCATCATGACACATCGCTATTCTCGAGATACGCTCTTGCCACTCACCATCATGACACAACGATATTCTCGAGATACGCTCTTGCCACTCACCATCATGACACAACGATATTCCCGAGATACGCTCTTGCCATTCACCATCATGACACATCGCTATTCTCGAGATACGCTCTTACCACTCACCATCATGACACATCGATATTCTCGAGATACGCTCTTGCCACTCACCATCATGACACATCGCTATTCTCGAGATACGCTCTTGCCATTCACCATCATGACACATCGCTATTCTCGAGATACGCTCTTGCCACTCACCATCATGACACATCGCTATTCTCGAGATACGCTATTGCCGCTCACCATCATGACACACCGATATTCTCGAGATACGCTCTTGCCACTCACCATCATGACACACCGATATTCTCGAGATACGCTCTTGCCACTCACCATCATGACACACCGATATTCTCGAGATATGCTCTTGACACACACCATCATGACACATCGATATTCTCGAGATACGCTCTTGCCACTCACCATCATGACACATCGCTATTCTCGAATTAGGCTCTTGCCACTCACCATCATGACACATCGATATTCTCGAATTAGGCTCTTGCCACTCACCATCATGACACATCGCTATTCTCGAGATACGCTCTTACCACTCACCATCATGACACATCGCTATTCTCGAGATACGCTCTTGCCACTCACCATCATGACACATCGCTATTCTCGAGATACGCTCTTGCCACTCACCACCATGACACATCGCTATTCTCGAGATACGCTCTTGACACTCACCATCATGACACAATGTTTTTCCCGACAAAAATATGCAATCTTTCAGTAAAAATCTCTTCCCAATAGCTATTGGAATACAGAATAACTAAACCTGCCAAGTTGAACTATTTAGACTTCCTATATGACCTTGAATCAAAACTGTACATATTCTACAGTCATGGTGCAGGACTTCCCACTCCATATATACCCTGATCTGCACCTTGGATGATCGCCATTCTGGATCAGTTCCTTTCGGGTTGCTGGAGGATGTGGTCGAACACGGCGATACATGACATCCCAGAGGTGTTCTATGGGGGACATGTCTGGGGAGCGTGCAGGCCACGGCAACACGTTCTGCAAGGAAGTTTTGTACGATTCGGGCTGTATGGGGTCTGGTGTTGCCATTCTGACAAAGGACACCACGTGGCAGCTGTATATAATCGGACGAAGAATGTTATCCACTAAGATGTCACATTTACGTTAATGATACCCAGTAGTGTTCTCTCCTGCTCAAAATTCATCCCAACACCATAACACCCTCTCCATCATACAGCAAGACTTCCTGAACACAACATGGTGCCGTTCGTTCTCCCCTTCGGTGGTAAACACGCTGACCATCAGCTCTGAACAGACAGAACCGGCTTTCATCGGTAAAGACGGCCCTATGCCAGTCACGTCGCTGATAAGTTCTTGAACCCTGAGTTGCCTGGCCACTGTCTGTCGACTAACCATATGCCCCAAGGCATTCGTCGCTGATGACGTCACTGTCAGTATCGATTCCGGAGATGCAAAGTACGTAAGTACCGGTCTTCATTGGGCGTAGTTACACTGGGTCTGCTTGTTCTTGACATATCTGATGTCTGCCCGGTCTGTCTGTAACGTTGCATCAGGTTAGTTACAGCAACACGGGACTTGTATCACTTTTTTGCACAGAACATTGCTGTGTTTTGCATTGATTTAGTTATAACTTATGTTTTTGATTTTTTTGCTAGTTCATGTTTAAAGGGGTAAAGTTTCTTTTGGCCGTAAGTTAAGGAGATGAGCATCCACTGTTGTTAATTATTTTCATCCTATATTCCTAATGTAAACGTTAATTATTGCTGGACTAATGCTATGAAAATAGAAAAGAAGATATATTCTTGGGTAGTGGGTGGCTATTCAAGAGTGAGAAGCCGCAGCAGCGAGAGCTAGCATACAATCACACAGTCACCTCTCTGCTGTGAACCAGCAGACGAGGTAAGCATAGTGAGCGCATGCATTCCACCTACTTTATCATGTTTATAGCAGGCTGGATTATCGGGTTTCCGCTGTGCAATAGTTTTGCACGACAAGCGAGTCTGGAGGTGACGCGAGAAGTGAGGTAAATCACCGTTATGACGCGTAGATCAACGCAAGCCCCCAACTGATGACGTCATATGATGACGCACCTAGAAAGCTGCACGAGTTGAGGTGGTGTTTATAAACAAACGCACATAGTATGGCGACGCCAACGATTAACACAATATAGCGGTTAACGTTAAATACGTACTTCGTACCTAGATTGTGAAGAAGATACGTCCGCGACATTGAAACAAATCACAGGGATCATTGCGCGTTACGTGATGAGGCCAATGCAGCGGTTTATTGAACACTATCGCTTACCAGCACACAAAGGACGCTGAGAAAGAGAGAATCTCACCCTAGTGTCTTTTGATATCAAATATATCAACACGCGTTGATAAAAGTGGAAACGTTCCGAGGCTATCGAGCATTTTTGCCACTTTTATCAACAAGTGTTGATATATTTGATGTCACAAGACACGAGGGTGTGATTTTGTTTATCATCCAACATCATTCTTCCAAGTTTTTCAGTTTGTAGACAGTAATTAGCAGTGTCTTCGGTGTAAAAAGTACTGCTAACAGCTTCAGTAGCAGGGCCATTAGTGATGTCATTTGATTGTGGCGTCATGGTAACCAGTGACGTCACAATGGTCTGCAAAGTATTGTGATGCAATTTCATTGCAGCGATATCTACAGTGTAGATATCGCTTGATCTCATCCAAGCGATATCTCTAGTGGGAGCCAGTTTTGGGTGATAAATATCAGAAAAATTCCTCGCACGTTTTTTGAAAGTTTGGATAATACGGATTCTTTGGTTGAAAAGGAAAATATTATTATATTATTTTTCTCTCTTTAATGTTTAGTTAAATTATTTCAGAGACTAAATGTGACAAAGCACAACTGTTAGAAAAGGGGATGTAGGCGAATTAGTCATCAAACTAATTCGTTGCCATGGAGAATTCGTAGCCACTCCCAACTCGTAGACAAATTTCACAGTGGACTCGTAGATATAACAATAAAATTGAAAAATTAAACTATGAATTTTTACAAATACATAATCAATTATTATGAGGCAAATGTTTTTCAGATCTTATTTTGTTAAAGGCGATAAGTGTTTGATGCAGTATGGCGTGATGTCCACAGATATATTTCTTATATTTTACTAGCGCTTCACAATATCTTTTTTATTAACATTTTGAGGTTTTGTCGAGCTACTGTCTGACCACTCTTCACCATGACACATGCAATGATATCTCGAGCTACGGTCTTGTCATCCAACATAGCAATATGTAATTCTCGAAATACTTGCCTCTCACTATCATAATAAAATACGATCTCGTCATCCATAATGACTCTGTGTTATTCTCGAGCTACGATGATGGGGAGGTGTGCGCGTCCAAGATTATTGTACTTATATAGCGACGTGCATGCACGTGTGTGTGTGTGCGTGCGTGCGTGCGTGCGTGCGTGCGTGCGTGCGTGCGTACGTGCGTGCGTGTGTGTGGCTGCTTGTACTAGTCCGGACTGATACCGATTTATATTGATAGAACACTGAGATACCATGCCGCAGTTTAACATCAATACCCTACTCAGACACAGCATACTGACTCCGAGCCGACCAGTCCTTGTTTTAGTCCCTTAATGCCGAGCGCCAGACAGGGCAACAACAAGTACGTCCTTTGGTATGACGCTGCCGGTGATAGAATCCCGGACCTTCCGCTCTCCGGGCGGACGCTCTACTACCAGACCACGGAATTACTGTCTTGTTGTCTACATGACGCTATAGATGCTATTCTCGAGCTACACTCTTGCCGCTCACTGGTGATGATGTTTGTTCTTTACTGCCGCACTCAGCAATATGACGGCGGTCTGTAAACAATTTAGTCTGGACCAGACAATCCAGTGATTGACATCATGAGCATCGATCTACATAATTGGGATCAATGACATGCATCAACCAAGTCAGCGAGCCTGATCACTCGATACCGTTAGTCGCTTTTTACGGCAAGCAAGGGTTATTGAAGACCGCTTCTCACCCGGATCTTCACGGGTTCACCATAATGCTATCATATCACAACCTGACCGGTGAAGGGCGAAAACATCCTGTAAACCGTATTCCCAGAAAACAGGTTAGCGGAAATGTTCATCCGCGTCAATGCGCAGCCCTGAGCAAGTCTAACGTTGATGTTAGGAGTTCACGAATCTGACCACCAGACGGCGCTGGTCTCACTTGTTGGTGAACATCCTTTTGGCGCGGTGCGTGTTGATAAGTTGCGAGAACGTTGTTCACGGGATCGAGAAAAACTGTACGTTGTTATTTTCTACAGGAACCTAGTCACACTGAAAATGGTGAAAGAACTAGAAGCCGATACATCTAAGGTAAGGCGATTGAAAACTTCTAATCTGTTATAAATCGGCGTTTCATCGATGTCTAATGGCAGTGTTTTGACCTGAAATTGCCCACACCTTTTGGCCGAGACAGGTGGGGTTGATCAATGTTATACCGGTGGATTTCGACACTGTAGGTTTCAGATTCAATTTTTAATTATTATAATTATCTCGGTGTTAATAGTAACTGGTCCAAAGCATGTATAATCTATGTGTAATGACTACATTTGGCTGATCCCTAGATATGTTAATGACCGGTAGGCCTATATCTGTGGTAAAAATGCATTGTCATTGAGGTTAGGTCACGTTTTCAAGCAAACTTTGATATGTGTCGTGTTCACTTTTCTGCGACGAGGATTCACTACTAGTAAGGACTAGTAGTTCAAACCTGTTAGTTTCTACCGATGGGACTGGTCATGTATTATTGGGGTTGGGGTAGTCCTGCACCATGACCGTGGAATATATTTATTTTATGAAAAAAACATAATCTAGAAATGCATACAAAAGCAAGTCTAGCCAGCTCAAGCTAGCTCTATTCCACAATCAGCATAGGGAATTTTATTTTTATTTTTAGAGTCAAGAAGGATAGTGTGTAATATACGATTTCAGAGACTACATGTTAGTCTAGGGTTGGGGTTGTTAGGACTGTATCAGCTTTTTCCAACAGCTGTCAGCAGTTTTCTAATGTGTGTATGTGTGTCTATATAGATGTGTATGTGTGTGTGTGTCCTGTGGGTAATGACTGGATGACCTAACTAAAGCAGGAGTAATAATCCACAACATGACACTCAATCTCACAAGGTCTTCAGCAACCCATGCTTGCCGTAAAAGGTGACTATGCTTGTCATAAGAGGTGACTAACGGGATCAGGTGGTCAGGCTCGCTGACTAGGTTGAGGCATGTCATTGTATCCTAATTGAGTGGATTGATGCTCCTGATATTAATCACTGGATTGTCTGGTCCAGACTCGATTGTTTACAGACTGCCGTCATATAGCTGGAATATTGCTGAGTGCGACGTTAAACAACAAACAAACAATCTCACAAGTCGCTACACCCAATCGCCTGATCAGATTGTCCGACTTGTTTATTTCATGTCAACCCACCTGGACAGCATTGTTCGTTGTTCTTAATATCAATCACTGGAATGTCTATCACAGACTTAGTGATTTACGGGCCACCATCATATACCTAGAATAGTTCTGAGCGTTGTGTTTAGGGCTGGGACGAGTCCAAATTTACTACCTGGGTACCAGCCCCCCTATTACCCGACCCTACCCGGGTACCCACTGTTAGGTCTCAGGAGATGTCTCAAAATGTCCGATTGGTAACTTTTTTAGCATAGCCCTGGCAAAACGTATTTAGATACATGTATTTACAATCTGGTCATGCATGAACTGAAGTTGACTTAAGGTATATGTTTATTCAACCATATGAAAAATCGGAGGGAATGGGTGCATAGTCAGAAAAAAAAGCGAACATTAATGATTTGTAGTGTAACCATAGAGTTCCAGATAATTTTAGTCATTAGACAATGTATCACGTGACTAACCACAGGTTCGGGTAGTCCTGAGGGTACCCGGGACCTACTCAGTACCCACCCGACCCAGGTACCCGAGTTACCCGTCCCAGCCCTAGCTGTGTTAAACAACAAACACTCTCACACACACTCCCCATTTTAGTGTTCACTGGCAGCAGGCACCATGTGTCCATGCACATGATACAGCCATGATAAAAGACACTTAAACATGCTGTCATTGTTGTGTTTCAGGCTGATTTCGATGTGGAGCTGTCCAAATACCCAGGCAAGGTCGTGGTGGTTGACTTCCATGCCACATGGTGTGGTCCATGCAAGATGATTGCTCCTAAACTAAAAGTGAGTCAGTCCTGCACTGCTAAAGGACAAGGGCTGTGACTAGTCCAGATTTACTACCCGGGTACCCGACCCTATCCGGGTACCCACTGTAGGTCTCAAAGAATTGGGTACAAAATATCTGATTGGGACTTGTTTTACTGCAGCCTTTGCATAAACTGTTTAGATACATGTATCAAACGTTTAGATCATTCATACACTGAAGTTGACTGAAGCTTTATCTTTACTCTAACATATACAACTGCCACAAAGTACGAGTTCACTTCCAGTTGAACCGAATCTTGACTATGGACTGTTCATTATACTGTAGGGTAGCATTTCGGGGGTTTTCTCCCTGCACTATTTCAGGATGCAGTTCACAACTGACCGCACAACAAATAAGCTGGCGACACTGCAGAGCTCCACATAACTTTGAGCAATTGAGTTTTTACTCTAGGGTTTCTATTTTAATTGGGTAATTACAGTTTTCATTGGGTAACCAATATGTTTTCACTCATCTGTTCATCAAACTATTGGGTTTTTCCCAAAATTAGTGAACATTTTAAGATTTAAAAAAAATGAAACAATGATCTGGATGTATATAACTGTCCTAAATATATAGGCTTGACTCGGAAAGTAACTTAGCTCGTAATTGTGTTTCAGAAATTAGCTCCCTTGTACACATGTTGAAAAAGCTTCATTGGGTATTTACGTGTGCTGTTTTCATACATTTGACTTTTTCATTTAACATGTTTAATGCATGCATTTCTGTACGCAAGTTAAATGAAAGTAATTGGTTTTGAATATTTTTGGGGGGTATTTTACGAAAATACGCTGTTTATCTGTAGCTCTGCACTGCATGCTGTACTTGAAAATTAAAACAAGACATGATCTCAGACAATGTTTGTTTACTCATACGACATATGTTTTAATATTACTCTATTTAAGCATTGACAAGTACATTTACACTTCAACATTACTGTTTATCAGAAGCATAACTGTTGTTCATGTGAACTCCTAAAACTCATCAGTCTGTTGTGAATGCATCAATGTTTGTTCAAACAGCAGCTTTGAAGCAGTACTGTAGCTTATAAACAACTGCAAGTTCACAGGCTTCAGGGGGTGGTCGGGTAGCCTAGTGGTTAAAGCGTTCACTTGTCACGCCGAAGACCCGGGTTCGAATCCCGACATGGGTACAATGTGTGAAGCCCATTTCTGGTGTCCCCTGTCGTGATGTTGCTGGAATATTGCTAAAAGCGGCGTAAAACCAAACTCACTCACTCACTTACAGGCTTCGGTACATTCATCTTCCCATTTTTGGCATACATATTTTTTCTTTGTTATACATGTTATAAGATCAAAGACTGTAGGTCTCATCTTTTTTTGTATGCTTAAAATTCAAAATGTTTTAACATGTTTGAACAGTTGTCTACTTTGATCACATCGGGCGCTTTGACCGATTTCATGTTTTTTAATGGGAAGACTGTTGCGACACTTGGCGTTTCAAACATGTTTATAATGCTCTGTGGTTGTGTGATTGTATAAAAGTTCAGTTTCTACCCTCACCAAACTATGCTGGAATTTCTTGGTTATATTTTGGTATAGTCCAATCAAAGTCGCATAATGAAATCAACACTTTGTTCATAAATAACATGGGCATTTTGACTGCCATGCAGATTTTGGACAATTGCAAGATTTACAAAGCATGTTTATCATCAACTGGGCATCAACAGATATTTTCCAAATCTTTTCTTGCTCTTAATCAGTGTGCGCAAATGTTGTTCTACAATCCTTATGCACTGGGTGTCTGTGAGTCAGGGAATCTTAAAATTTTCTTTGATTAACTTGATCGGAATTTCTTAACTGGGCACCGCTATTTTATCTGGAGTAAACACAAGTTATATGAGAAGTGGAATCATGATTGGTTAATGGGAGGGACATAGAAGGAACACGCTGTAAACTACGGTTAAGGAACTCAAAGGGACCATTAATTTTAGCTTGTTATAAGCATATATATAGAGGAAATGTCTGGGACCAAAAAACCCAGTTCATTATATCTGTCTGTTCGTCATAAATGTAGTTTACCGTAACTCATAATAGCTACGATTGAGCTCCAAGTCCAAAATTCCAGCCTAGTTTGGCAAGGTTGGAAACTCGACTTTTGTAGTCCATTAACTCCCTTGGCTAGGGAAGATGTAAGAACAGGTTGTGTTTTTTGTTTTGTTTTTTTGTTCGTTGTTTAACGCCGCACTCAGCAGTATTCCAGCTATATGACAGCGGTCTGTAAAATCAAGTCTGAATCAGACAATCCAGTGATTGACATCATGAGATCCACGCAATTGAGATCGATGACATGCATCAACCAAGTCGGTGAGCCTGACCACCCAATCCCGTTAGTCGTCTCTTGCGACAAGCATAGTCCCCTTTTACGGCAAGCATGGGTTGCTGAAGACCGTTTCTACCCCGGATCTTCACAGGTCGTTAGAACAGGTACTCTGATCATGTTACCTGGTGCTTGCCCTAGTATTGTTGAATGACTAGTTGTGAATCATCATACTGTGGCAGTGACCATTAACCACTAAGACTTCTTGCTCATCCTTCGAGGTAGCCATGGTGATAATGCTTGTATTGCAGACTGTGATGTAAGGCATAATGATAATTTGTAAAGGACTCTCAATGACATGGAGAGCTTTGTTTCTAATTTGGTTATATAAACTTTCAGGCAATGGAGGAAGAATGGAAAGATAAGTTGGTGGTGCTGAAAGTGGATGTAGATGATTGTGCGGTAAGTACATTATGTCACGTCTATACATGACACACAAACCCTGATCTTCAAGTGATCAGTGAACGTTTGTTGAAATAAGTTTGTTGGTTGGTTTATTGTCTAACGCCGCACTCAGCAATATTCCAGCTATATGACAGTGGCCTGTAAACAATCGAGTCTGGACCAGACAATCCAGTGATTAATATCATGGGCATGGATCCCCGCAATGGGGATCGATGACATGCATCAACCAAGTCAGCGAGCCTGACCACCCAATCCCGTTAGTCGCCTCTTACGACAGGCATAGTTGTCTTTTACGGCAAGTATTGGTTGCTGAAGACCTATTCTACCCCAGATCTTCGCGGGTGGTTGAAATAAGTCATAACATTGGACTGCACTTCTGATTGCTGCTGATGTGAGAGGGCTCAAAACTATTAAATGTAACCGAATGGTAAAGCGCTTCCATTCCAAGGAATGAATTATGATTTGATTTCATTCTATTTGTTTTTAAAATAGCCTTAATTATCTCAATATACTGGCATAGTCGTTCAAGGCATTGCAGTTTGCCGTGCAGATTTCCCTCCCTTAAATGTGCCTGAAATCTATAATTGTGGGTTTGAATCCTGGTTCGCCCTAATTGTGTTTCTAGTTTTGTCAGCACCGTTCTGGTCGTCGTGGGTTTCACCAAAGTGGTAATTATCGAAGACCTGCTGATTACTTTGGGCCCTCCAGTGACAGGCTGTGAAACAAAACTAATGCAGTTGAAAGAGGCACGAAGGCCATGTGACTCATTTACTTCTTGATTTACTCATGATGGAAGGCTGATCCAATGTCTTTATTTTCAGGAAATAGCTGAGAAAATGGGTATATCTGCCATGCCTACATTTTTTATATTTAAAGACGGTAATAAGGTGAGTAATATGTGTGAATGCATGGAAATGCTTATTATGTTCATGTAATTGAATTTTGAGTTTGTGTTAGTGATGTGTCACTCAAGCGTTTGGACATTTACTGATTGTCAAAGAATTTGCTAATCAACAACAAAATTATGAATTGATAATGCAGTTCCACATAGAAACTAATAGAAACATGATAAACAATCTTGGTTCAGTTACAATTTTGTTAAGCCAAGTGTGTATTAAAGGTATTTGGATATATAGCTCCTGGGCTCTTAACATGAAAGTCAGGGTTTTGAGTTGTGTATTACAACTTGTAGAAACACCAACTAGCTTGAGGTTCACTACAAAGTACAAGTCACATATAACCGCATTGTATGCAGAAATAATTTATAAAAAAAACTGTCTACTAATTGTTATAAAATACACAAAAGATTGGATCGGAGGAGAAATTATATACACTGCCAAAAGAAACACGAACTATAGACACATAGAGAAGTATGTAAGTTAAGAATAGATGTTTTCAGTGTGTACCAGTTAATGACAAAACTAACAGTCAGTCAAGTGTTACCACAGAGTGTCTTTATTCTTATCATGATATGCTGTCCATGATTGACACGCTAATCCTGCATGAGACAAATGTGAATGAGTATGGTTGAGTAAGTACTCAGTGGCTCAGAAAATTATCTGGAGCACAGGACCCACTTTCACAAAGCGATCTTAGCGCTAAGACTATTGTAAGCCTATGCTAAAGTATGGGAGTTAAGATCATCTTAGCGCTAAGATCGCTTTGTGCAAGTGGGCCCTGGAATATGCTGAAAAACTAGGAGCTTGCTTTGTGTGGCATTAAACAACAAGCAAACCTTGAACATAGTAGAACGATTTTTTGCAAGAATATGCTTCTTTTGTTTCAGGTTGGTGATGTGGTAGGAGCAAATGAGGCAAAGTTAAGGGAGACAATTACTGCACTGCTCTAAGCTGACTGGCTATGTGTATTCACATTTCTACTTTTGGAAGGACACATTACACGGGGGACAATATGTGTTGGAACAGCACCTTTTTTGGTGAATGAAATCCTCATATCATCAGTGCTGACATTGGCCTGGATCCGTCACTTATTTCTCACACCAAATTATCACTGTGCAAGTTAAGAGTGTTTACATTTTCCTTCTATGAACCAGGTTTACCATAAGAGTTATCGATGCTTCATCTGAACATTGTAGTTTGAAAATAAATCTTTGTCATATTTATTAAGGAGATTTATGTTTTTTATATAGTCATGGCGACTAACGGGTTGTCGGACTCGCTGACTTGGTCTTTTTATCCCAATTGCCTGGATCGATGCTCATGATGTCAGACTCGATTATTTACCATGCGCCGTCATATAACTGGAATATTGCTGAGTGCAGTGTTAAACAACAACAACAACAAAATCTCACAAGTCGCTACACCCAATCGCCTGATCAGATGTTGATTTCATGTCAACCTACCTGGACAACTTGGTTCATTGTTCTTGATATCAATCAGTGGATTGTCTAGCCCAAACTTGGTTATTTACAGACCGCAGTCATATAGCTGGAATATTGCTGAGTGCGGCGTTAAACAACAAACAAACAAATAAATCACGTTGGAATGTAAATTCAGGGCGGGCGGGAGATGGGAAACAGAAATGATACGGACAGCCTTATGGCAGGAAAACTAGAATCCCTGCTTATAGCATGAAGGATGATCGCAGAGTGCAGGTGGTGACTGAAGAAAGAATTCTCAGGATTCACATCTGATTTTAAATGTTGCATGCCACTTGCAGCCATGTTTAAAATATCATTTTGCGGGAATATACAATCACGCTTTATCCATCTGTCAACTTTTGATTCCGGATCTTCACGGTTTTGTAATGGTCTGTTGGACAAAATCATCATAATATTATGGATTAAGATAAAACCGTTTAGATGCCGTTCCTCAAAGGGTGATGGCGATAAGAAATTGGCAATAGGTTTGGTGTATTAGGCATTTCAGCATTACTATGAGTGCAACGCAGCCTACCCAGGGAACCAGACTCTAGGCAGTTTACATTGCTTGCGTTCGATTAAAAAACCCTGTACGACCAGGTGAACCCGTGTTGACCAAGGTATAACCCAAGTTATACGTGGGTTGACCTAGGTTGCACATACCAACTGAACCCATGGGCAGGGGGGTTTGGCCCGTGTTTTTTTCGGGTTGGCTATTGACTTGCCTTCGCATGTGTTTGTGACGAGTGCCGCCGGTGGGGCAGGGTGCTCTCTCCTTTTCGTGAGCGCCTGGTATCGTCTCTGTTTGATAGTGATTCATGGACACATGCTTATGGTATATTCAGATGGGTGCAGTCGACTCTGCTATTGGCAGAGATTTCTAATGAATATTGGGGGCACGGGTGGCACAGTCGTCTAAGGCACCGCGATGCGAAATGCAGAGTTCAGTCCCTTGGGTACGCCTGAAACCTACATTGTGGGTTCGAATCCGTGGTTCGCCCCGATTATGTTTCTAGGTTTGTCAGCACCATACCCGTGTTCGAGGGTTTCAACGAAGTGTTAAACGTCTGACACCGGCATCACTTCGGGCTTTCCTCCCACATTAAGCTGACACGCCGTGATATAACTGGAATACTGTTAAAAGCGGTGTTCAACCCAACTCACTCACTCATGGGCTGCGGTACTCTGATGAGCAGCCTTCAAGTGACGTCATCGGTAAAGAAACTTCAGGCATTGATAAAAGGATGTTAATGAATATAATTAACTAGGTATGTTTATTCTAAAATGCGTCATGGATATTTACCTTTCTATTGTTGATATAAATACTTTAGAATTAATAATGCAATTTTGATGATGAATTTGCATGTGGTTTGATGTTCTGCGCGTTACTTTGAACTTCTTGTCCTTTTGCATTCAAGCTTTATAAAGAAATGAAGCACTTGTTAACGTCCCATAGTTGGGTGTTGTACACGACCGCCACCGTGGTCTAGTGGTAGAGCGCAAGATCCGGTGTTCGATCCCTGCCCGCGTCATACCAAAAGACGTTAAAAGATGGTACCTGTTGTTACCCTGTCTGGAGCTCGGCATTATGGGTCTAAAACAAGGACTGGTCGGCTCGGAGTCAGTATACTGTGTCTAGGGTATTGATGTTAAACTGCGGCATGGTATCTCAGTGTGCTAGCACTATAAATCGGCATCAGTCCGGACTAGTACAAACAGCAACACACACATACACGTGCATGCACGTCGCTACATAAGTGCAATAATCTTGGACGCGACGTTAAACCCCATTTCACCTCACCTCACCTCACCTCACCTCACCTGTGTGTTGTAGCACAGGGTTGTTGAGTTTCTCACTCTCCGGGCAGCAATGAGTAAAATCTAAGGTTGCATTTTATGCGTTATATTTCTGATACTGCCTTCAGTTAGCCTTGGTTAACTCTGTGGTTGACTCCAGTCAACCCTGGCTGCCAGAAATGTGGAAACGTCGGTTGACTCAGGTCACTAATATTTTCATAATCGTACGCACTTATACCTCTTTTAAGAATCTTGCAATTCCATTGGTTACGTGACGAAACGATACATTTCAATGCTATCTGAACACGATCGGCTTTTTGGGTGAAAATAGGCGTCTGGGGTGACTCGTGACCATTGTGAGCGGGGACTATATTTGACCACATGACCGTCACGTGATGTAAACATCCAAGCGTGCAGACAACAGTGTAGAATGGCTTGTCAGAGGTAAGAAACTGCATCTTATGTGTCATAAGCGGACGTTTGCATAAGTTACGTGACTCATCTTACGTTTATGATTTTTTAGTTATTTACGCTGATCACTCACGTGACTGACACTGATTTTCGAATATTGACTCGTCACATGATCGGTATTGACCTGTTACGTGATGAATATTGACTCGTCTGCTAGAAAACAAGATGGCGCCTAGTACTAACATTTAACGGCTCCCAGCTAGATTACTGTACATAGTGAAACAGAGGTAGGTTTAAAGGCTTCATGGACTGTAAACAGAATTTTGGTATCACAAAACGAATGATTAGTCTTGACGAGGTCAATATGCGAAAACAAGGACCCTTGGACTCGACCTCTTCGGCACCCCGGTCAGATCGCCTTTTTCGCATATGGACCTAGTCAAGAGTAAGTATGTTGTATAATGTCAATTTCCTACTCATCTGGTTGTTCGGGGGATCGCAATCGAAATTGAGATGCATTGTTGAAATATGATTCAGCCCCCAGTTTTCTCGGATGCTCTTTCAGCCAATAGGACTAGGTATGTTAACTTTTAACGTCTTATAGAATTCTGCAATATACAAAATACAATGAAATCCAGTTTCAATTGCTGTTTACAGTCTTTTTATTGAAACTGAAATAATCAGAATGATATATTTTAGATCCGATAAATTACAGAATTAATGGTTGTAGTACTTTCTGTATGTCAGTCTATTCTTTCTGTTCTATTTTCTTAAATTCCCTAAAATTGTTGGTAATGTGTCATCTGAGACAACTACTATGACATATCATGTTTAGTTGGCATTCCTGAGAATCAACCGTCTGAAATAATATTAAGAATCCAGTTCATATATGGCCATATTATTTGGATATTACGACTATTCAATACAAATCAAATACAAAATGGCGGCCATTTTGACATTCAAGATGGCCGCCAAAATGGTAGAGAAAATGATTGGCCCAATGAAATTCTATTACCTACTGGTATGAAGGAGTGATTAAAAATCATAAAATCATACTTGAAAAAAAATACCAGGTAATTTACATTCGCTCTATAATAGTATATGCTTGTCGTAAGAGGCGACTAACGGGATCGGGTGGTCAGGCTCGCTGACATGGTTGATGTATGTCATCGTATTACTGGATCATCTGCTGCAGACTCGATTATTTTCAGACCGCCGCCATATAGTTGGAATATTGCAGAGTGCGGCGTGAAACAACAAGTAAACAAAACAAACAAGGCTATAGGGATCGGTAGCCCTTTTAACATTTTTGTGGCCGTTTTGACCAATGCGTCTGTGACCCTTTTGACAATGATCCATTTTGACCCAATAGATTTGAAGAAAACCGTGAAGATCCGGATACAAAACTTGTCAGATGGATAAAGCGTGATTGTCATGAAACAAACGGGTTTTCTTTAAATTCTTTTGATTAGTATATAATGTGGACTAGTTGTAAAGGACCTCACGTTTGTTCCTGCTTGTGTGGCGTTGCATGACTGTGCGTCTACCGAGCGACGTGACGTCACACAAGTGATACGTGGTTGGATATAAGGCCCTCCCTGCTAACCCGGAACGGACATACCTGTTTTTCGAACAGACGGTGTTTTGTCGTGTAAGATCCTGTTGCAGTAGGCACGTGCCGGACACCATTTAGACACATATGTATATGTCAGGTTGGCTTTCCTACATCAGGACACAGTGCATACTGGCGTTGTGTTTATAGGTCCGGACATGAAACGCCCGTGTCCTTTCGTTTTTTGTTCATTGCAAATTAGATAAAAAATGATAAATGTTTACAGAAGGTGAGTGAGTTTGGTTTTACGCTGCCTTTGGTATAATTCCAGTAATATATGTCACGGCGGGGGATACCACAAATGCATGGACTTTGTTACACTGTATCCGGGAAGTTTAACCACACCCGCCGTCATAAAGTTGGAATAATGCTGAGTGCGGCGTTAAACAACAAACCAACCAACTTTAGCCACAAGGCTACCTCACCGCCCGTTTTTAGACAGAACATTGCCGAGAACATTGCAATTCTAAGTCTCTACGTGTGTAAAATACAGCGATTAGTCCTTTTTACAAAGTCAAATCTGTTCCTCTTGCTTTCGTTTTTATACCGAACACAGCGCATAACATTAAAAGAAGCCCAGTGGTTTAAGCGTTCGCCCGTCATCCCGACGGCCCGGGTTCGCATTCCCTCATAGGTACAATGTGAAACCTATTTGTGGTGTCCCCCGCCGTGATATTGCTTGAATAGTGCTACAAGGAGCGTAAAACCACTGGTGAAACAATTGGGAAGCTTATGAGTCTTCGTCAGTTAACAGTGCTTCTACACGTACAAAAAGATTATTTTCTTCAAGAATGTAGAGTTGTTTTCTTTGTTTTAACGAGAAAAACACCACATATGAAAATGTTAGGTTATTTATACAGCTTTCGCGTCTGAACCATGTCGATATTTCATTTATTCAACGTGGTGGTCATTACGTGTTGATATAT